TTTGACAGCGTTACCCGCCACAGCTGATTTTTACCCGCATTTGGCGGGTTGTCGGGTGTTCATTTCAATATATATATATATATATATATATATATAATGTAACACTTAGTATAGGGACCAATTCTTACTATTAACTAGCTGCTTATTAGAATGCCTATTATTAACATATTGGCTGATTATTAGTACTTATAAAGCACATATTCTGCATGACCATGTTCTACATTGCTAATCCTACCCAATACATAAACTTAACAACTACCTTACCAACTATTTATAAGCAGCAAATTAGGAGTTTATTGAGGCAAAAGTCGTAGTTAATGATTTGTTAATAGCGAGAATTGGACCTTAAAATAAAGTTTGACCATATATATATACACACATACAATTTTCTCCCAAACAAAGGCTTATTTAAAAATGAGCATTTTCAGTTTCACTGGCTCCATTATTTTCAATTTTGGCCAAGAATGTTCATTTCGGTGTATCTCTCCCATGATAACATTGTGATTTCCAGGCTTAGAGATGAGGGCCCAGAAAGGTGAATCCCCCGCTGAGCCATTCTGCACTGTTTTATTCATTTAAATCTGTTCATTCCAAAGATTCATTCAAATGAAATGACATACAAATGAAAATATGCCCAGTAAGGATTTCAAACATCCTTATATCCACAAATCACAAATGAGTGGCAGAGTCATGGAAATGCATTGATTAATAGTGTGAGAGTCCTCTTTTATAATTTCAAGCGGTTGTTGCATGTGTTTTATGCATTTTATGATTTTGTGTTGCAGCTAAATGTTATTTTCCTGGGCATTGCACTATATAAGATGTTTCACCACACAGCGATACTCAAGCCTGACTCCGGTTGCCTGGACAACATCAAGTAAGGCATTTATTCTGTGCTTCAATGTGTGTGTACTTTATTGCTTTTCTTGCTTACACTGTGACTGTCTTCATTTTTTACTAAACACACAATTGTCCTTTAATTCTGGACTGTTCCTTGGAGGTGTTTAAATGAGAAGAATGTTCGACTGCCTATCTTAAGTTAGATGCAGTTTAAAGTGTCTTTTATCTGTCGCTTTTTCCTTGATGTTCAAGTTCTCATTGGATCAGTAATGATAAATTTTTTTTTTTTTAAATCATAGATCACATTCCCTGCGTTATTTATGTAAATGAAGCCAGCATCATCTTTAATAGAGCTAGGACACGAGGGGCTGGCATATCAGGGTGTATTTAATTTCAAGCGGTTGTTGCATGTGTTTTATGCATTTTATGATTTTGTGTTGCAGCTAAATGTTATTTTCCTGGGCATTGCACTATATAAGATGTTTCACCACACAGCGATACTCAAGCCTGACTCCGGTTGCCTGGACAACATCAAGTAAGGCATTTATTCTGTGCTTCAATGTGTGTGTACTTTATTGCTTTTCTTGCTTACACTGTGACTGTCTTCATTTTTTACTAAACACACAATTGTCCTTTAATTCTGGACTGTTCCTTGGAGGTGTTTAAATGAGAAGAATGTTCGACTGCCTATCTTAAGTTAGATGCAGTTTAAAGTGTCTTTTATCTGTCGCTTTTTCCTTGATGTTCAAGTTCTCATTGGATCAGTAATGATAAAAAATATTTTTTTTTAAATCACATAGATCACATTCCCTGCGTTATTTATGTAAATGAAGCCAGCATCATCTTTAATAGAGCTAGGACACGAGGGGCTGGCATATCAGGGTGTATTGAAACACAGCCAGTAGTGTGGGGGATCAGAAAGTGTGCAATGCACAGTGTGTAGCATGTCTCATCTATACTCTACAGCCCATTGGCAGACAGTACATGCTGAATCTAGGTTAGTTAGCATATTTCAGTAATTGATTATTCTTTTTGATGTTCAGAACACAGGCAGAGGAGTCACTGTTCAAATCTGTGACCCAAATGCGTTATTTCTGCTGTAGTTCTAGTGTTCTGCAAAGATATTCATGTTATACAACAGTTACAGTACTCTTATTTGATTGAACAAGTGGTGTTTTGAAAGTGCTGATATGCAGCATAACAGCACTGGGACTTTACAAACTGTCAATTTGTGCATTAGTGCTGGGGATTTTCAGGTTACATCGATATACCAGTAGGTGGCGGCAAGTGACTCTTTTATGCATGCTTCAAAACATTGAATCATTCAGGAATCAAGTCTTTTTGAGTGAGTCGTTGAATCATTTACTCAACCGAGTTGTTAAAAAGCACAGATTAATTCATGAACAAACCAGTGTTATATTTTAGTATTTTTTATATACTATTATAGTATTTATTTTATTTAGCTATATCTTTTGAATTAGCTTTTATTTTTATATTTTCAGTTTAGCTTAATTTTTCATTTTAGTTTTAGTTAGCAATAACAACACTGGAACAAACTACTGTGTATTGCTTGCAGTCACGCAATGGATGATTCTGCTTCGGTTCTTTGGAACTATTTTCATGGGAGGATCAAAAATAGACAAAGTAACTGTCAGTATTGAGTCTACAATAGTTACTAAATATTAACTTCTACGGTTAACCGAACTGTTCGCCATGTTTACAAGTAAGAAAATGTTATTATAAACAGCTACAGTACCACCAAAAGTATTCTGATCCTTTAGCCACACTTAAAAATGTGCAAATGTCAGTACATTAGACAATAAAAAATAAAAAAACACAGTTCTGTGGCAATGTCATTTAAACACCTCTAATGACAATTATGTTAATGCATATATATATATTTGCGTTCAAGTTTGAGGTCAGTAAGATTTTTTTTTATTGTTCTTGAAAGAAGCCTCACCAAGAAAGAAAGAAGGCTCACCAAGGGTGCTGTTATTTGATCAAAAAACAGTAATATTGTGAAAAATAAATAATAATAATTATTATTATATAACACAGTTCTGTGGCAATGTCATTTAAACACCTCTAATGACAATTATGTTAATGCATATATATATATTTGCGTTCAAGTTTGAGGTCAGTAAGATTTTTTTTTATTGTTCTTGAAAGAAGCCTCACCAAGAAAGAAAGAAGGCTCACCAAGGGTGCTGTTATTTGATCAAAAAACAGTAATATTGTGAAAAATAAATAATAATAATTATTATTATATATAGATATATATATATATATAGATATTACAATTTAAACTTTTGTATATTTTATGAATTATATTTTGTATTGTATTGAAAAATGTCTACAGTCTTCAGTGTCACATGATCCTTTAGAAATCATTCTAATATGCTGATTTTCTGCTTAAGAAACATGTCTTGTTATTGACAATGTTGAAAACATTGTTAAAAACATTGTTAAAATCCTGACTTTTTTTTCAGGATTTTTCGATGAATATAAAAGTTCAAAAGAACTACATATTACACATTACACTACACAAGTACACATTTCTTTCAAATAACAAAAATCCTACTGACCTCAAAGTTTGAATGGTGGTCTCTCTCTCTCTTATATTTATATATTATTTCCACACAGTGGGATAAACTAGGTATTGGTGTCTATGGCAGCTGTGCACTCTCATATAACTTCTCAGTATACAGTACATTTTACAATCCATCTTCACAGCAAAGTCCTAGTGCCATAATCTAATCCTAATCTTAGTACTATTAGTCTCTTTGTCACCAAATCAGTAATAAAAAGACGAATTTTTAATGAGCTGAGAGAAATGTCTCTGCTAGCACAGGATACACGATGGCCGATTTAATACATTTAAAGTTAGAAAGTCTGGCCTAGTCAAAAATGTCACCTCAGCACAAAATTCCATCCAAAGTCCTGAAGCTGCCATGCATAGATTATCTGGCGTCCTGTAAGATTATTGGCTACTGAGAGTTTAACCCCACCCACAATCGCAGCTCCCACTTTGTCATAAGGTGCAGGGGCTCCTAAACCTACCGGCAGTCTGGCTGTTTTTTTTATTTAGTTTTATTTTTTCATCTTACACAATCACATTCCATCCCCCAATATGTACAATTGTGTCGGCTGAGAGAATGCATCCTCATCATCATCACAAGTAGAAGTTTTCATTTTATTTGTTTGTGTTTTCCATCTCTCGAGTTTGTTTTGTTTTATTTATGATGTTATGAATCATTCATCAGCCTCATCTATCTGTTTTTTCTCCTTTGTTGTTTCCTTTTCCATCCTTTTTTTCTGTTTTACATTTCAGCGTTCTGTAGAGGCATGGGTTGTTATGGATAGTCACTGGTAAGGGTCTCCAGCCAATCAGAGTGCCAGTTGTCTGAATCATGCATTCTGATTGGAGTGTTTAGCTGTGTAGTTCCTCCACTGTTTGATTGATTCTCTGAATGTTAAAATGATTTAAGTGATTCATCAATTCTCCAATGTGGCTCTTTGAGATGAACAATGTAATTATAATTCTTCATGAGTGCGTGTTCTCTTTCTGCATCAGTCCCGAGTCTGTTCAGAATCAATATTTCTGTCTGTCTGTCTGTTGGTCTTTCCATCTTGATCCACCGTTATTTATTTATTATTATTGTCTCTGATGGAAACAATAGTTCATATTTACTGTCTCTGTGTATATCGTCTCAAAAGTTTCTCCTTGTCTGTCTGTACGTCTGTCTTTCTCTCTCTCTCGGTCTCATACTTTCTAATGATCTTGTTTCACTGCCAAACATTAGCCTGTCACATTAGCGCAGTTCACAGTATTAATGGGTTGGAAGCTGATTATGTGTGAGTCTAAGTGTGTGTGTGTGTGTGTGTGTGCGCGTGTGTGAATGACCCCAAAGACTAAATGACATCACTAAATGAGTGTGAGGCTCAGCACTAAGTACAGACTAGTAGACATTATGGCTGGAGCCAACTTGACATTTGACTGCTGTAGAATAATGCCTTTCTCCGAGAAAGTTTATATTCTGATCCTACTATTGTTGAACTGAGGAAACGGATACAGTCCAATAAAATAACAGAACATTTTAATATACTTAGATAATATAAACTAGCTGAGGTCATACATGTGTCGAGTGTGTGTGAGTGAGAGTTATGCACTTTGTCGGTTTCATTTATCTCTATCTCTCTCTCTCTCTTAGGTCCTGGGTTATAGGGGCCATAGCTCTGCTGTGTCTGCTGGGGTTGACCTGGGCGTTCGGGCTGATGTATATCAATGAGAGTACAGTCATCATGGCCTACCTCTTCACCATCTTTAACTCGCTGCAGGGAATGTTCATCTTCATATTTCACTGCATCCTGCAGAAGAAGGTGACACACACAAACAGACATTCACATAAGGGTGATTCTTCAGTTAGTGGCACCTTTGACTACTTGAGAGCTTGAAAAAGCTGTTTTATATGCATTTATCACATTAGATCATAGCCTTGATCAATGGAAGCCCGCTTCCAACAATGAATAAAAAAAATAAAAAAAAAGTAATTGCAACTTTTTCTCACAATTCTGACCTTTTTACTCAGAATTACAGGATATAAACGTGCAACTGCGAGAAATAAAGTCAGAATTGTGAGATATGAACTCACAATTCTGACTTTTTTTTTCTCACAGTCGCAAGTTTTATCTTGGGATTCAGACTTTTTTTCTCGCAATTTAGACTTTTTCTCACAATTGCAAATTTATATCTCGTAATTCTGATTTTGTAACTTGCAAATGTGAGTTTACCTCATGCAATTGTGAGGAACAATTTGAGATGAAAACAAGCTTTTTCATATTGATCATCCTCGGATTGATCAAGTCGATTTTTTATACTGTGCGTGATGGTAATGCCATTTTTCAATTTTAGGGGGAAAAATAAGTTTGCTAGCTAGCAGTGAATAAGTTTAAATGAAAGTAAATAGATTTTTTATTAATTCTAAAATACTAACTAGGTTAATAATGACACCAATTAAGCTACTCTCAGATCAGGGTGTAAAAAGGATATTAAAAATGATTTTGAACGAAGAATCCTGAAAAAAAAGTATCACGGTTCACACAAAAATATTAAGCAGAAAAACTGCTTTAACACTGATAATAATCAGAAATGTTACTTGAGGACCAAATCAGCATATTAGAATGATTCAGTCACACTGAAGACTGGAGTAATGATGCTGAAAATTCAGCTTTGATCACAGAAATAAATTACATTTTAACATATATTAAAATAGAAAAGAGTTATTTTAAATTGTAATAATATTTCACAATATTTCTTTTTACTGTATTTTGCAGCCTTGATGATCATAAGAATCTTCTTTCAAAAACATTTTTAAAAATCTTAACGACCCCAAACTTTTGAACAGTAGTGTATATATATATATATATATATATATTATAGAAAAGTTCTTATGGAAAAGTGCAGGTAGAATTCCTTAATTTCTCTTCATATATTTAGAATAAAGGTAATTTCTATTATAATTTAATCTTTAAAATCAGAGACACAATAGAAATCCTTTATAAATAAATTTTAGTCTGTCCTCTAAAGCTACGATTATTGTTTTTAAAATTGTCCTAGCTGACAGAAAAATTCCCCTAATTTGAAGAATCACCCATGTATGTTATGCGAACATCTGCAGTATTGCAATCACGTGCGCATACGCATACCGAGGCTCAGTTGACCTCTTTCCTGGGCATTTTACAGAGAGTTTACTGGCCTCTCATTAGTAATGATCTCATTAATCAACCCTTCTGTCACATGCATGCTCAATTAGAGACCCTCAGCGCATCAGATTTATTTAGCTCATGATAGATTTCGAACCTTTTAATTATCTGATGGCCGATCTGTGGATTGCTTCCAGAGTCATTTAGCATGAAAATGCTCATATGCACATTACACTGGTGCCTTTTCGCTTTAGAGGGAAAAAGATATTGATTCAAGAAAAATAATATGTGTATGTGTGAATATTCCGATGTATTGATGGACAGAAAGACTGGATTGTTGTGGAATTTGATTACGTATTCCTCTGGCCAACCTTGAAGCTGAAATGCCGATTTATGTTTCTTGCACCATGAATAGATGTGCAAGCAGGCGACTTTTAAGCCTTAAGTGGATGGTTTCATACATTTTTGACAAATCTGCCTATCTACCTAATAGATCTTAACACAAACTGTATATATATTCTCTCAAAGCTGTTTTTACCAGATGAGGGACTGATCTAGGGTTATTTGGGTTTTGTGGAGACAGCAGTGATTTAAATCTAAATCTGTAAGTCCTGTTTGGTTGGGGTCTTTGAGGAGTTGGGTGTGCAGTCATCCATAGAGACGGAGGAATAAAACCGTTGGATTTGATTTGGCCGTACTTAGAGAGTTTTCTTTCAACAGCTGTGCAAACAATAACACAGCGTCCATGTTAACAACATTAAAAAGCAATTATAGCTGTATTATTGCTGATACAACAGGGAATTTAGTACTGATATTGGTCATTATTGCTATTATGTCTAGATTTTTGGATGGAGCAATACAAGTTTTGGTCCTTGTTTTTTGAGAATTGAGGTAATGGCCGTGAAGTTGAATGTATGTGTGTGTGTTTTTTCTGATTAAGATTACAGCGTTTGGAAGGTCGTGCTAACTGTAAATGATATGAAGGTTCCTGCCATGCAAACAAAAGTTCACTTTGCTGTTCACAAGCACGGACACACACGTTACACACAGATGAGCTCATACACACACACACACACACACACAGACACACACACACACACACACAG